CCATCTCACAGGGTATGTTCTGGACCTTGACTGCCACCTTGATCTTGGTGCTTGTTCAGGGCTGCAGCGTCAGGCTGGGGATGCTGTTGGTCTTGGCAAGTGCGGTGGAGTGGAGTGGGTGCCCCGATTTTCCACAATTCCAGCATTGAGCATCCCAGAACTGGCATGACTTCCATTGATGGGAGCTGCCGCAGCTGGTGCAGGGAGCTCCAGAGGGTGGTTGAGCCCCCTCACGCTTCCTTGTAGCAACTCTGGTGTGGAGGACTTCCCCCTCTTCATTGTCTGTAAAGACATCCGTGCGAGGCTTTCCTGGTGAACACCCTCTGACTTGCGGGACGGAGGTGGATTACACATCTGCTGGATCTCTTTAGTCAACTGCTTGGCTGCCTCGGTGGCGATGGCCTTTTTGTAGGCTGTCATAAAGTCGAGGTTGTGCTTTGCAAAGAGCCAACGCTGCAGTTTCTCGTCTTAGAGACCGCACACCAGACGATCACAGAGGGCCTCCTCCAAGTTGTGGAAGTTGCACTGGAGCTAAGTCTTTCAGAGAGCTGTTATGTAGGCAGTGATCGACTCTCCCGGTGCCTGGTCTCTCTTGTAGAAGGCGTGCTGGCAGGAGACTCTGGAGGCACGAGGCGAGAAATGATCTTTTAGCTTGCCCTTGAGTGCGTCAAAGGATATGGCGGCAAGGTCCTGTGGTGCCACGAGGACTTGGGCAGTCTCGAAGGTAGAGCGCCCACAGAGGCTGAGGAAAAACAGGTTACTTACCAGTAACTGGTGATCTTCGAGTGGTCATCTGTGCATTCACACCCATGGGATCTAGTGCGCACGTGCTGGATCAATCAGTGCTGTAGCGAGCTCTTTTAATGGATTTTCATGCCCAGTCCCTCGGGCATGCACAGGAACCCCACCGTGCCTGCCCAGAGGGATGGGCGCGGACATCCCGCCAGTTCCTACAAACCACCGCAAATCAACCCCTATTCAAAATGTAGAAGCTGACAGCAGCGGGGAAGGAGGGCGGGTGGTGTGAATGCACAGACGACCACTCAAAGATCACCAGTTACTGGTAAGCAACCTGTTTATCTTCGACGTGGTCTCTGTGCTTCACACCCATGGGAGATTAGCGAGCAGTAGCCTACCTGGAGGAGGGTGCTGGCAGGTCTTTTACTGCGTAGCCGAAGATAGAATGTGACGTCCCATGTTGGTATTAGAGGTCTTTCGGACGTCTAGGGCGTAATGCCTGATGAAGGTGTTAGGTGTAGCCCAGGTAGCGGCTTTACAAATGTCCGGCAAGGGTACTCCCCGAAGGAAGGCAGTGGAAGTCGCGACAGCCCTGGTAGAATGAGCCCTGATAGGGCCAGGCAATGGCTGTTTAGCGAGTAGGTAACATAGATGGATCAGACCTACAATCCACTTCGACAGGCGCTGGGTTGTGATGCGAGTACCCAGCCGTGTCGGAGCGTACGAGACGAATAGTTGTGAGTCTCATCTAGTTGGGAGTGTTCTGTTGACGTAGAACAGGAGAGCGCGTTTCACGTCTAAAGTGTGTAGTAATTTTTCTTCAGCTGATGTTGGATTTGGGAAGAAGTTAGGGAGTAAGACCTCCGCCTGCAGGTGGAACTCTGACACCACCTTTGGCAGGAAGGAGATGTCCGGGACGAGGCGGACTCCGTCTGGCAGGAATGACAGGAAAGGGGTATCATGGCGGAAGGCCAACAGTTCTCCCACTTGCCTAGCCGTGGTAATGGCAATTAAAAAGGCTGTTTTCCATGCCAGGAGTTTGAGATTGCATGTTGCAAGTGGCTCAAATGGTTTCCGCGTAAGCCTAAGGTGGCGGAGAACGAGGGGAAGGTCCCAAGGAGCAACTGGAGCCTTGACAGGAGGGTAGAGGTGTAACAAACCTTTAAAAAACCGTTTGGAAATTGGATGAGAAAACAAAGTGCATCTGTCAACTGGAACATGGTAGGCTGAGAGAGCGGCCAAATAAACTCATAACGATTAATGGGAAAGTCCCGAGTCAGCTAGGCTGAGGAGGAATTGGAAAACTCGTTCGAGACCCACAGAGGTGGCTCGAGGGGCGTCATCTCCAAGCGAAGAACAGAACCTACACCATTTGTAATCGTAGGACCTCCGCGTAGTGGGTTTCCTGGAATTCAACAGGACATTCCTTATACGGGCGGAGAAGCCGATGTCATTATCCTCCATGCCGTCAATTTCAGCTGTGGTATGTTGTGATGTAGGACGGGGGAGTCAGAGAGGAGGAGGAGGTCCGGAGCTGGAGGGAATTGATGGTAAGTTCCCTGTGATAGCTCGAGGACTGCTAAAAACCAAGGTTGTCTTGGCCACCATGGAGTTAGTAAGATACAGTCCGCGTCGTCATTGAGAAGGTCCTGTTGAGAAGGTACTGGTTTCGGTTGGACGACAGGAACAACGGGGTTTGGAGTGACTGGAGGATTGAGTGGACGACTTGGTTCCAGAGTATGGTGGGACGGATTGAGTATAGGAGGACGCGACAGAGATACCAAAGGTCCCGACTTGTGTGGGGATCTCGAGCTATGAATGGAGTGGGTCGAGTAGCGATCCCAATCAGAATAGCCCGCTGGAGTCAACCACGGCATGGACGGTTGGTAAGCCCCGTTGAGGTACCTTGACTGTCATTGATCCCACGGTATTGGCGGTTGGGAGGAGCAAGTTTGCTACCACAACGTCTGCATCTATTGAAAAATCCCCACTTCTTCTCCATAAGAAGAGAAGTGGAGAAAAGCGGTTGGGGGGCGGCGGCCCGAAGGCCTGAGGTAAATTCCCCTCAGAAGAAAATAAAGGTTTTTTAAAAAGTTTTTTAAAGAACAAATCACTAAAAAAGATAAAATAAAGAACGGAAATAATTCCTAAGAGCAGAGAGCTGCGAGGCAAAAGCAAACAGCGAACTGATCAGACGGACGACGAAAGAGGCCTTTCCAACGCGGCGGTAAGAAAGGAACTGGTGGGATGTCAGCGCCCACCCCTGGGCATGCGCGGTGGGGTTCATGTGCATGCCCGAGGGACTGGGCGCGAAAATCCGTTAAAAGAGCTTGCTACAGCACCTATCGATCCAGCGCGTGCGCACTAGATCCCATTGGTGTGAAGCACAGAGACCACGTCGAAGATCATGGCCTTAACGATCTCATGGTCGGTGATCTCGTTCGCTGTGATGCAGAACTGGAACTGGGAGATGTATGCATCCCAGTCTTCCATGGCGGCATCGAATGGTTCGAGGTGGCCCTTGACAGCCAAGCTGTATGATCGAGTAGTTGGTGAGGTGATTCAGCCAGATCTCTTCTAGTTCCTTTGTCTAAATCCCTTCCTCATCACCAGTGTTAAATAGTGGGTTCACGAGACGAGCGTGGTTTCAACATAGCTTCTTTATTAACAATTTAACAACAACACACATGCAGCGAACCACAACTATATACAAAACCCATAGCCCAAAACACCTCCCCAAAATACAAACACACCAATAGGCAATTAGGCACTTAGGGACCCTTAAATGCACAGCATGCTTCATGCGGATGTTCCCTGATTGGGCGGATTGGCAAGGGCAGCCAATCCAAATGTAGCAGCTAGGAGCCTCTCAAACAATAAGTGTTCACTCGAAGCTCTCAGTACACAACAGGCATCAGCTTTCTGGATCTTGACTTCACTAAATCGACTAGATTACAGCTAAGAAGAAGTAGACGGTGATTTGGATCCAGTGAGCCATCAGCAGAAGAAACTGTTTGTCATGGATCTTTCCCATATTCCCCTCCCTCCAGATATCCCTTCTGACTCTGGGAATAAATTTCTACAAACATATCCGGGACACATGTGGATTAATAGCCATGCTGGTCAGGAGGCTGCAGTGAGGAGAAAAAAGGGGACAAAAATCACTCTTTTTGATTCTTCCATCAACACAACTCCACCAATGGGAGAGGAAGGAGAGGGTGATTTTGCTTCTCCACTGCAACCTTATAATCCATGTGACTATTGATCCATGTGGGTCTCATATCTCTAGAAAGGCACTTTCCTGAGGTTTGAAAAGACTGTTGGGGGGAGTGGAAACACAGGAAAGAGCCATGATCCTTGTATGTGTGGCGCACTGGCTCCATCCCAGTGTTTTGTGCTACTCCAAGTCACCAGACCTAATAACATCAGCTACACTATTTTTGGCTCACTCCTCTAACATGGTATATACCCACTGTTGTGTATGCAGACCCTGAAACCATACCAGCTATTTATTTCCACACAAGGGGTTGCAATAAAATGGCCCAGGGAGAGACAGGAGAAACAGGAATTGGGTTTCCACTGGAGAAAGCCTACATGCCAAACAGAGGAAATGAATGCTGGTCATAAAAACCTGATGCGAGAGTAGGGAGACATGGGCTATGTGCCAGGTAACCTAACTGGACGAGTTTGGGATATCTCCCATGAAGACAGGATTCCTAGCTCTGAAATGGGGGAAGATGTTCAGAAAAGCAGGCAGAACAGTAGAATCTTCCTTTGTTCTTGCTTCAGATACTTTGCCCAGATGCTGTGACCTGTAGGGATCCAAGCTCCTTTGCAAAGTTCCACTGCAAAGGGGGCAGTAGGGAGTTTGTGGATGTATTTGCTCCATCAAAGGTAACTGTCCTGTATTGTAACTTAGCTAGGCTCACGTTTTTGTATTAGATCTGTATCCTCAAATCCTACTCATAGGCTGAAGACAGCTCTTATACACTAAGAACATGTATGCACACGGGGGTGGATGGGGATAAAGTAATTGGAAAGCTATGCTCTTGGTACTCATTCAGAGGCAGCCTTGCCAGGGTTCCCCAGGACACTGGTAATGTGATAGGCTGGGTTTTATATCTTGGGGTAGTGGCATGAAGACAAACACACTTTTACATGCAGGCAATCACACAACACGCATGTGAGAACACACAGACTGAGGGCGGGTTTGTGACATCCCCCAAATTCTAATGTGAATTAAAGAAATGAAAGTTACTCACCCTGCAGTACTGCACACGGTGTCCATCAATGCAATGTCTAGAGCCTGGATGGCAAGTTCATCAGGTGCAGTCAATCCTTTGTGAAGGTGCCACTTCAGCATAAGTGCTAATTCAGTGTCTGGTTGATCATTTAAAATCATACGTATAGCATCTCCCATGGAAAGTCGCTTTAATCCATATATACTTGCAAATTTTTTGGCAACTGTAAAACATTTTTGTTACGAACGTGAAGCCTTAATCATATCAGTGTGATTTGTTGCTCATGAGTTGCTCATGCTTTATAAGGAAACAAATAATGTCTTCCAGAATATGAAACCTGCAAAGAGCAGTGTATAGGAAGGGATCTTTGCATCTTCAACACTACCACCAATAGCTGGACTGAGAAAGTACTTTGCATTTAAACTTCTTATTTAAGCAAAAGCTGAACCTAACTTGTTGAGCCCCTATAATTCTCTTTTAAGGGTGGTGGGATTATTGAGATGGCTGTTTTTTTGTGAAGTGCTACAGATGCTATACAGTATCATCCACCATCAAAGGACATTAAATATAGTATACAGTATGCAAACATATTGTAAGAAACAGTATTCTATTTTATAAAAATTTTATGCTTCAAGGCGAAAACCATATTAACACCACTTTGTATCTATTTATGAATTAGTCTCCATAGGCCTACCTGTTGTCTTGCCAGATTTTGGAGGCCCCACTATTGCAATCTTGACTGGCATGGTAGGTTTAGGTTTGGGCTGACGAATATATTTGATAGGATTTTTCATAAACTTGTCTCTATTTTCTTTGCTTGCAAAAAAATAAATAGAGTTTCGATGGATAACTGGAAAAGTTGGAGTGTCAGGACTTTGATAAGACTTGATTGTTTCTCCTTCATTTAGCTGCAGAAAATACAAAGCTGCTGATTTTCAGAAGTGCTGTTATAACCACTTTATAATGATAAATTCAGTGAGTTTTAACAAGCCAAACTTGGCCCTAGGTGTGTGTGTGTGGGAAGTTAAGCAAAGCTTCTATGTTATTCCATTTTAAAAACTGAAAATGTAGGCTTCTTCACTAATGGTAATCAATATGTTCCTGCCACAATTTAGGTTTTTGAAGCCAAAGTTCTACTTCAGATGCTTTAAGGCGTTCAACAACAACTTAGAGAAAATTCAGGCAAGATATTTCTGACAACTTTTAGGAGTCTCTAACTGTATACCATATTCGGCACTTTGTATAGAACTGGACCAGCATTTTACTGAAACAAGAATTTGGCTAATAACATTTAAATATTGGCTCAGGTTACATTTTAGAATTTCTTCAAACTCTTTACTTTCAAGGTTAAAAAGTGATCCGTATAGTATTATCCCTTTTTAAATTTTATAAATAAACAATAAACAAAAAAAAGTATAGTATTACCTGGCTTTTAGCCATTGAAAAGAAAATCCAACAACTGGGCTTTTCAATCTATTTCTTCCTGCCCTTCAATGAATCTGCTATCTTTCAAACCATTAAACAAAGGTTTTTTGACCTAGAATTTCAAAAGCTAAATCCTCTACAGCCTTATTTTTCTTCTCAGGCCAAACTAAACCTCTCCATCCAGCAAGGGAAGATGGCCAGTTACTTTTATAACCTAGATCACCCTTCTCATCATAGAGCTTTTACATTGGCCTGACTAAATATTTTCCCCTCAAAAATATTACCTGGTTGGTATAACAAAGTCCCTTTCCATGAAAGGAAATGTATCTGTCCTCTAAAATCGATAGATTCAATCCACCACATCGTCTTGGATTGTCAATTGCACGCAGGTCCACGTAAGAAACTCCTTGCCTCCCCACTATACCCTAAACATTGTATTAACAATGACAGAATAATCCAATGTCTATTAAATGACACAAACCCGGACATCACAGCTCTGGTCGCTGGATTCTTTGCTGAAGCGGTTAAAGATAGATACAAGCTTTCTGTATGATCAGTCTTATTTTGCCGTCTCTGTAATGTCTTCTTGCTCATATTTTATCATACCATGTATTTTACTGATATGCCATTAAAGATATTTGATTTGATTTGATGTAGGTCATTTAACTATCAGTTAAACCATGTCAATACAAGGTTGCCTTAAGGGACAACTCAGAGAGACTTTTGTGATTCTTGGGAGCTCTCAAGCCATGGTGCTGGCCTTCAAAATATCCTACATCTTCATGTTTCCTGTAGCCACCAGTACTGCAAAACGGACTACCTGTGATACATGACACTATAATGTACCCTAATAAAGGCATGAAAATACTATAGTCAAATAGATCAAAGACATAAGTCATACAATTTCTACCACAGACTTTTCTTCCATGGTTCCAAGATGCAAAACAAAGTTGCTTGTAGATATGCAAAACAAAGTTGCTCCCAAAATAGATAGCTTCTTTGGAAGCAACTTTGTTTTGCTTGTAGATATGCCTATCTACAAGCAACTTTGCATCTTGCATTTTGTAACTGTGGAAGAATGGAAGATTTTATTCACTTACCGTGAAGCTTCCTTCTCGGTGGTCTGGGAGTGGGGCAGTCCTCGACTCCTTACTCCTGGGACTTACTCCTCCCTTTCCACAGGCAGGGCTCGCAAAACTTTGATCCTGGAGGGGAGGGGCTTGTCCTCTGGATCCCCAGTCATTAACCAGACAGAGACAGAATATGTGACTCTGCCCATGTCATCACCTGCGTGGCTTCCTGATTCAGCCGCCTGAAGTGCATCCCGCCTTGTTTGTTGATGAAGGCCTTCGCCGTCACATTGTCTGTTTGAACGAGAACATGACAGTCTACTAACCGACTTTGAAACCGTACCAGGGTGAGTTTTACCAATCTCAATTCTATGAAGTTGATGCTTCTGGTCATCTCTTCCCCTGACCAGGTTCCCTGTGTCATATGTCCTAAGGTATGTGCACCCCAACCAAACAAGCTGGCATCTGTTGTCACCACTGTTCTCTTGGGTTCCCTCAGAGGCATTCCCACCATCAGCCGGGATGGTTTCAGCCACCACCACAACTCCTCTTTCACTGTTGAGGGCACATTTACCTTCCTGGTTCTCTTGTGTGCTATGTTCTTCTGAAAATATCTGCAGTGGTCGTGTGTGGAACCTGGCCCAAGGCACCAGATCCTGACAAGAGACCAATAGTCCTAACAAACATGCTAAGATCATCACTTCCACTGTGGAAGCCACCAAAACCTGATTCAACAAGTGTAAGAGCTTTTCTCTTCTCTCCTGTGTCAGGAAGACTCTGTCCTGTGCTGAATGAATCAACACTCCCAGGTGGGTTAAGGTCTGGGATGGTTTGAGAACACTTTTCTCCAGATTTATCACAAACCCGTGGTCCCGGAGAACTTGCATTGTTAAGGCTAGATGCTGATGCACCTGCTGAGATGAGCCTGCCCTTATCAAGATGTTGTCGAGATAAGGAAACAGGGACATGCCCCTCAACCTCAGCACTGCTACCAGTGTCACCAGCACCTTGGTGAAAACTCTCGGTGATGACTTCAATCCAAACTGGAGGGCCCGATATTGGAAATGCCTCCCTTGGTAGGCAAAACGCAGGAACTGACGATGAGTGTCCTGGATTGGAATGTGCAAGTAAACCTCTGAAAGATCTATTGAGGCCATGAAGTCCCATGTCTGTATAGATGTGAGGATCGATCTCAATGTCTCCATCTTGAACCTTCGAGTTTTTATGAATTTGTTCAACTACTTGAGGTCCAAAATGATGCTGACATTCCCATTCCTTTTGGGGACCATAAAGAAGGCGGAATAAACTCCTTTTGATCTCTCCCCTTCTGGGACTGTTTCTATGGCTCCAATATCTAGAAGATGTTGAATCGCTTTCTTGAGGAGATTGTGTTTGTCTGACAACTGCTTCTTCGGCAGTTCCAGAAACCGACCTGGAGGGAACTTCATGAACTCCAGGGAATAGCTGAGGGAGACCATTTCCAACATCCATTTGTCCGTGACAGACTGTTGCCACAGATAATGAAAGTGCTGAAGATGGCCCCCTACCCCTGTTGACTTCAAACATAGTCATGCCGAAGTTCCCTTCTTGGGACCTTTGGTGTTCTGCCCAGATTATCCAGAGAAGGGTTGTGATCTCTTAGGTTGCCATCTGCCTTTGGACGCTCTATTGTAGGACTGTCTATCATCTCGCCTGAAGTCACGAAAGGACTGGAACCTTTTCTTTGATTTTCCTTCTTTCTTCTTTGAGGGAAGGACACGGTTCTTGTCCTTGTCTTCAATCAGGTAACTCTCCAGTCCTGCACCAAGCAGATTAACTCCCTTGAAAGGTACAGTTGCTACCTTTGCTCTAGCTGAAGGATCAGCATCCCAGTTCCTGAGCCAAGTGTTACACCTCGCAGTAACACTGCAGGCCATTGCTCTAGCGGATAATTGAAGCGCATCCAGCGAAGCATCCCCTGCGAACGCCATGGCTAAAGCTATCTTCTTCAACTCGTCTTTCAGACTCTTGGGAATGCCGCTATCTGCCATTGTAAGGCCTGAAGCCCATGTATAAGCCACTGTGGCAAACAAGGACCCAGTTGCAGACACCCAAAGGGAACTGGCAGAGGCTTTAAAGTCCCTTCACAGAGCTTTCACCACACGCTTGTCACAGTTGTCCTTTGGGAGGCCATTTTCATCCATAGGCAGGACAGAGGTAGATGACAGGGAGTTGACTGGATCATCAACCACTGGCAACTTTATTTTTTGGTAGCTTCTGGAATAAGAGAGTACAACTTCGTGAACATTGGGTTAGTTGACTTGGGATTAGCTGGATGCTCCCATTTAGCCATCATGATATTATAGAAGGAGGCCGGCAAAGGAATCCCTGCTGCTTTAGTTTTGGGTTTGGGGATAGCTTTGTCAGACCCTACTGGAAAGTCTGCTGCCTCTGTGTCATTCTTTGTTTTAGGTGTGTAGGAAAGCTCCAAGATTCTCAGGACCTTAGGTAACAACCTATTATACAGTTCCTGAGGAAACAGCCTAGCTTGAGTGAGAGGAACCGCTTCATCTTCTTCCTCTGATAATTCTCCCTCCTCCTTCTCTGAGACAGAGGCAACTGATACAGAATTCTCCTCCAGGTCACTAAACAGAGGACTATGCCCCCCCTCTTGAGGAAGTCTTTCTGTCCTTCTTACTAGGAGGGGAACTATCCTGAACATCAATATCTCTATGCCTTTTGCCTCCTGGAATAGAGGCAGGTGCCTGCTTCCAGAGATCTCTAAATTCTTTCCTCATTTCTTCCTTCAAGCAGGAAAGGAGAGAAGTCTGAGTGTCCTCCCTCGACAAATCCGTGCCATGTGAATCTTTCCTAGGGACTTGGGAGGACTCTAAGTCATCCTGGGAAAGGAGGCTTGAAGGACCAAGTGTCTCCGCCATTTTGACCAGCTCGTGATTCAGCAGAAAACAGACTGAGTCTTTCGGAGCTCCTGTGCTTCCTGCGTCAGCAGGCCTGCAGGTGAAAGCACACAGCTCCAGGATGACCTGGGATCACGCCAGTCGAAACCGCACCACCCGGCTGTTGCCCCTACCCCCACCACTCCCTCCAAGACTCTCCGACAGCACCGAGTGGGAAAGCACTCCTCCAGCGGCAAGCAGCTGTGCGCAGCAGCGAGGTCAGTTCCCAGCTGCTGTGTCCGTCTGAGGGCCTCCCAGAGCTGCTGGCAGCCACTCTCAGCATCTTCCATGAAGGACCTGGGAGGGGTAAAAGGCAGCTTTTCTTTCCCCCGCCTCCCATCTGACTCACTCTTCCTGTGAATTCTTCCTAGTTATCTTCTTTCTTTAGCTTCCAGGTTCTTTGTGCTCCTTCCGAGCACAGCCAGATGTCCTGCAAGAAAGGCAACGACGGCGGCGGAGCGATCCGATGAAAGAACA